CGCGGGCCTCTCACTGTTGTGGCCTCTCCCGTTGCGGAGCACGGGCTCCGGACGCGTAGGCTCAGCGGCCATGGCTCACGGGCCCAGCCGCTCCGTGGCATGTGGGATCTTCCCGGACTGGGGCACGAACCTGCATCCCCTGCATCGGCAGGCAGACTCTCAACCATTGCTCACCAGGGAAGTCCCGGAGCTGGGCTTTTATGTTTATTAACTCTTTAGAGTCCTTGTCATTGGATTGGACTGTCTTTTCCAGCAAAGATTGTTCACTCAGGAACTCCTCCCCACAGCAAGACAGAGGCCCTGCACTGCCCTGTGGTGTCCTGGTCAAGACAGATAGTGACGATGGGCCAGGTCCTTGGTCCCTCCTGGGGCTGGGGCTGGTGCCAGCCACCCTTCTTGCTCTGGCTCAGGTGCGGTTCCTGGAGCAGCAGAACAAGGTGCTGGAGAACAAGTGGGTGATGCTACAGGAGCAGGGCCAGAAATTGGGCATCATCTGGAACAATCTGGAGCCCCTCTTTGGGTACTTCATCAACAACCTATGGGGGAAGCTGGACAACCTCCAGAGTGAGCAGGGGAGGCTGGACTCAGAGCTGAAGAATGTGTAGGATCTCACTGAGGACTTCAAGAGCAAGTGAGGAGAGCTGGACAGGCTGGGGCCATGTGGGGATGGGGAGGAGTCAGCGTGGGAAATCTCCCCAGAGAGGGCCACCCTATTCTTGGGTCCAGGGACCCAGCTGGGGGAGTGTCCAGACAGAGCTGCTTTCTTCGGGGGCTCAGGTCCTGGACCCATTGCCTCCTGGAGGATTGTCACACCGTGTAATGCTGTAAGATGAAAAAATATTATAAGGTAGGGAGAAAAGTGTAATGAACATTTATGTTCTCATTACCCAGCTTTAATAATTGTCTACTCATAGCCAATTTTATTTTGTCTACACCCCTACTCACTTGCTTTTCCTCTTCCCTTATTGTCTTGAAGCAAATCTCAGCCATCATGTCATTTCATTCACAGCTGTTTTTACTGGATATATTCATATAGTTCATCTGCATAACGTGACTTAATAACACACAAATACAACTCTAAGAGCACCTATATCTTTTGAAACAATAATCCTCAGTATCACCAACTATCCAATCAACAACTGAATTTCCAATTGTTCCATAAATGTCATAAATTTTAAAAATACAGTTTGTTTGAATCAAGATGCAAATAAGGTTCACATATTATGATTGGTTGATCTGTATATTTATGAGTTTAAGGTATAAACTTTCATAACTTTTCCCATTGCTTGACACTGGCAATTTCTAAACCTTAAAGTCTCTGCAAAAGCTGTTGGAGAGAAGTTGGTGTTTTCAATGACATCCTGTTATAGAAAGTGAACGCAAAGGTTAATCATTGTTGACACATCTTCAATCTGTTCCCATAAAGCCTCCCAAGGGCTCTGATCCAAAGAGATGGCTGCTCTCAATTGCCATATTATTGCACAAATACTGTGCTCATCTCCTCAAAGGAGGTGGGAGGAATGTTTACAGACTGTATCCCTGTTTCTTCCTTGGTTAGCTGCATTACAGAACTGCTCCCCAAAGGTGTTCTTGGCCATTGTGGGACCCATCAGGGCTTCCTTAAAGGCAACTGGGTTCAATGTCTTAAAAGGCAGAACTGGGCGGAGCCTGGGCTGAGTCTTCCCTGTGTAACAGGTATGAGGATGAAAGCAACAAGCGCACTGCTGCAGAGAACGAGTTTGTGATGCTCAAGAAGGTGAGCAAGGTGGCAGGGAGTGGGGGCAGGTGGTCTTCGGCTGCCAGGGTGCTGGGCTGATTCGGAGAGAGGCGAGAGCCCTGGGGGCTGAGCCGACCGCCCTGCTCTCTCTCTCGCCCCCGCGATGTGGATGCTGCATACATGGGCCAAATGGATCTGCATGGCATGACAGACATCCTGATAGAGGAGATGGAGTTCTTGAGGCATCTTTATGAAGAAGTAAGATAGCCAATGGACAGGGATACTTACATTCACATACAGCTTTGGGGATTCCCCCTGGAAGTCTGATCAGAATTCACTAGTGTAACTTAATTGATAGAATATAGCAACTGGACCTTTAATCAATACTTGCTTCCATGTTTATGTGCTTATGATGGGCCAGGAACTGAGCTAAGCTTTTTACATAATCCTCTCAACAACTCCATAATATAGGTTCTATTATTGTCTCCCTTTTATAGTCAGGGACACTGAGGCTCTGAGTAACTTGCCCATGGTCACACAGCTAGTTAGAGGCAGTTTTGAAATTAAAACCTGGTCCTTGGACTGTTCCCCTTGTTGCCCAGTTTGTAATGGAGCAAGGGATACAGGAGCAGAGATGGACAGAGAGTGGGGACTGAAATTCCATGTGAAAGCAGGAGGTGAGGTGTGGGTAGCAGGTAGATCACAGAATCTAGGAGGGGTCCCAGGAAACAAGGGGGCTTTGAAGACTGAGGTAAGAGGGTTGAACTTGACATGAGTTGATGATAGACTCTTAGATTCAATAGGGAGCCCAAGGCCAACCTTATGCTCAGAATAAGAGCCCTTTCTCTAATGTCCCAGACGGGGGGCATGTAGCCTCTACTTGAATACTTCTAGAGGCAGGGAGCTCACTCTTTTGTAGGGCAGGCATTTCCATTGTTGAACAACCGTATTGGAAAAAGCTGACTTGAGTCTTCTTCCCATGACTTCTGCTCTTGATTGGCCCTAATTCTGCCCTCTGGGCTGCAAGTATCCAATTGTCTTCCATGTGACACATGTCTGTCATATGACAATTTAGTGGTCAGGATGAGTAGTGAACTGACATTTGTGGCATGTGAGAAAGTTGGGAAAACAGCATCCTTAGTCCAGAATCCAGAAAACAGAGAGGTGGGGAGGAAGGTTACAGATACAGACTTCTCTTCATGCAGCCTAATATTGTACTAGTTTATGTGTTATTTTTAGAAGCCATTTCACAATGTTTGCCCCTTAAAAGCTCCCTGTTTTTTTTTTTTTTTTACGTGAATGCCTTCAAGTGAGACATGCATCCACTGTCCTCCAACTTCCTGTATTTGGGCAGCTGAATTTTTGAAACTGGACACAAGAGTTAATGATTCCCCTTTTTTCCTGTGAAATGTTATTGTGGTTTCATCCCATCATTTCAGGTCACTGCGGGTGCTTTGAAACTTGATTCTCCTATCCATATATTGGAGGTGTCCAAATGGATAAGTGGATATATTACTGACGCCCAGCTTTGGGTTATCTGCAGACCTGATAAACATTCAGTTTAGTTATTTTACAACATTTCAGTGTAAATCATTGATAAAACACATTAAGGCAGACAGAGCCAAGAAAAGAGTCCTCATCCAAGAACTAGATCTTCCTTGGTGCCTTCCCACCAGGCTGATCTCATCACTCCACTAATAAATAATTTGTGTTTCAAGAGGCTCAGTTATTTTAAAATCCAGTTAACCACGGCATCATCTGGCTCACATTTTTCTGTCTTATTTTTAAGAATTTCAGAAAAAAAGCATTTCCAAAGAGAGGGGAAAAAAAAGCCGTCTTCCAAAAAAAGTCTTGGTCAAATAGCATCCGTGGCATCCTTTAGTAGTTTGGTAACACAGACGTGGAATAAAATCTATTTGGTTTGACTTTTCCTTAGGGAAGTCTTGCTGGCTCCATGCCTCTCACACACATTTTAGAATTCATTCTAGAGGTTCATAGGAGATTGATATCAAGTTTAAATTGGAGAAGTCTAAATCTCTCCCCTTTGAAAATGAGGACATTTTCATGTCTCAGGCTCTGGAAACTCTTCTACTGTCTATATTTCTCATGGATCTCCAGGGGTGTTTATTTCCTTGGCCATGGCCATGGGGTCCTAGGATTTGCTCCTCTGGCCTGGACCCCTGAGATTCCCAACAAGGCCAAGGTCTCTCATACACTCAGTGTCTGTCTTGGCTTCCATTTCTTCTCAAGCATCCTGCCCTTTCCAGTTTGATGACTGTTTTCTTGACGGGAAAGAGCAAATGACATAGCAGTTGAGTTGTTGGCTTTGCCTGGGTCTTCTGTAGGGTTAGCCCAATGCTACCTCCCTGTTCTTCTCACTTAGAGCTTATCTAATGACCCCTGTCCACTGGCCTTAACGTTTTTCCAAGTACATCCTTGGCTGTATTGTTCCCCTTCAAACATCTCTACATGCCTGTCGGGATGAGCTTGTTGGGGAGTGTTCTGTGCCATCATGCTGATTTCTTAGGTGCCTCCCCAGTTTCTTTTTTAGTGGGGTCACTGATGGGCATTCACCATCTGGAGCTTCCTTATTCTCCTCTCTTAGGGTGGTCTCTCTTTTAGGACAGGTCAAGGGTGCCTAGCTCCTCTTCTCTGAATGGGTAGGAACTAGCTTTCCTACTCTCTCAAAAAGCTTTCCCTTCCTTTGCTGTTCCCTGTCCATTTGACACATGTGGCTGAATACCTTCCACACAACTACAGAAGGACAGTCTGCCTTTGTGGGTTACCATGTGATGAGAGCCATGTTGGGACAGGGATAAGGTGCATGGGGCAGGCTGTGGCTGACCCTCCCTGGGAGGTCTGGGGGCATTTCAGAGGAGACAGCATTCGTGTTGGATTTTGAAGGAAGGACGGGACTTCTGAAGGAGGAGCAGCGAGGGTCTGCCAGCCAGGGCCCCAGCCTGCGCCATGACGCGGAGGCACCAAAGAGCACCGTGTGTTTGGGGAGCAGCAGGTGACCTGGCATCAAGTGTGTGGGAGAAATGGATGAGGAGATGAACAGGGAAGGCGAGCTGGAACCAAGCCAGGGTCACTTCCTGTCAGAGTTCCTCATGTCTGTGGGCACCTCCTTGCGGGGGGAATAGTGAAGGCCAGAGCAGTCATTCCCTTGCTTGCATACCAGGCGTGATGGCTAACACTGCACTCGGTAATCGATTTCATGATCTGGTCAAGCCAGATCTCAAGGAAATCCAGAAGGCCAACCACCAATCCCTGGTGTGTTGTACAGGGCAGAAAAGTTACCTCGTGGCTTCCCTCTGGTCCGGGGGCTCCCTCCGGGATCCAGCTCCAGTGCCATGACTTCGCCCCTCTGGCTCCTTTTCCCATGCGTGGGTGCTCCCTCCCCTCAGGGCCCCAGAAGTCTAAGGAGTTCACACCTTTAATCCACAGAGTTCTTCTCTCTCCACTTGCATTAGCTCTTTCTTTGGAAAGCCTGACCTTTTTATCCTCTAGTCCTAGCAAGAACACCTTTATCCACTCTTGATGGTGTCTGGTAGATAGCGTTTGCCTCCTTGTCTTAAAAATTCCAAGTTAATTTTCCTCAGGACCACGCTCTGGCATGGGACTGAGCTGGGGAGGGTGACGGGTGATGCTGCAGGATGATGCTGGCAACGCAGGTAGAGGGACCCTGAGCTGGGGAGGGTGATGGGTGATGCTGCAAGATGATGCTGGCAACGCACGACTGTGACAGAATGATTTTTTCTGTGGCACATGCCTCACGGGCATCCTGACTGACCTTTGGAGAAGTCTGGGCAAATGATTCACTTTAATGAGCTCCTACCATGGGCCACGTATGGATCTGAATCCTCAGATCAACTGCATGAGGAAGGTATCATGACCATTTTACAGAATAGGAGACTGAGGCCTCGTGACGCTTAGTGATGACAGTGGTCCCACAGCTGGTAAATGTCAGACTGGGGACTTGAACTTAGCTTTGTCTGTCTTTAGAGCTCATGTCTTTTTTTAAGAAACATTTTAAAATTTTTTCTAGTACATTTTGGCCACGCCACGTGGCATGTGGGATCGAACCTGCGTCCCCTGTTGTGGAAGTGTGAAGTCTTAGCCACTGGACCACCAGGGAAATCCTTAGAGCTCATGTCTTTTCACTAAACCATAAATGTTTTAGTGATTGGATTTCTGCCCCCTCTCCCTCCCAACCCATTTCACCTTTTAAAAGAGAATCTAATTTGAGAATTTAAATCTATGTCCATATAGATGTCAGTTTTGGCTTTGCTAGTTCTTTCTTTCTTTTTTTATAATTTTATTTTTTAATTGAAGTATAGTTGATTTACAATATTGTGTTAGTTTCAAGTGTATAGTAAAGTGATCTGGGAATATATATATATATATATATATATATATATATATATATATTCTTTTTTTTTCGTTTCTTTTTTTAAAGTGATTCAGTTATATATATATATATTCTTTTTTTCCCGTTTCTTTTCCATTGTAGTTTATTACAAGAGGTCGTTCTTTCTTTATTTATGCCTATCTCCATCTTAGTCTGTATTATCTCAGTTTCTGGTGTCAAACTCCCTGTGATTGAGATTGAGTTCCTTGCTTAATAGTTTGTGATTTTGGGAAAGTTGCTCTCTGTGCCATTGGGAAAGGGCAGGGAATGAGTTAGTACCTGTCAAGTGCCTAGCACAGTGCCTGATCACAGGGAACGTCCACTAATGTGGGCTGTTCTTGCCATTCTTCTATCTACTGTAATCCCACTGGCAGCAGTGAAGGGCAGTGTGTGAGCAAAGCTGGAGACAAGACCAGGTACTGACTTTGAGGCGGAAGATTTTCTTCCTTTTAGGAGCCACTGAGGAGCACTGAGTGGATGAGGGATTTGATCGGAGCTGGGGTTTGGGGCAGTATGTCTGCAGCCCAGGGCAGGAAGGACCACGGGAGAGACAGAGGCAGAGCCCAACTGGGAGTCAACGCAGTCATGACTTAGTGATAAGGGCTGGCCTCAAAGCCCAACATACCGTTCTCGGCATCTTTAAACGTCGTTTTAGGTGTGAGAGCTGATGGTCCTGGGAACACAGGAGGATCCAGAACATCACCATGGACTATAGATAATTAGTGTATATTCCAGAGGAAAACACTTGGGCTTTGGGCACTCACCTGACTGGTTCCAGGCTGGGCCCTGCTGGGTCAGACTGGATGACCTTGGATCTTGTGTCACTTCTTTTCTCCAAGCCTTGTTTCTCACCTGCCTATGTCAGGACCACTGTGAATGGTGATGCAAGTTGTTAAATGGCTGAGCAGAGAGTGGCGTTTGAATCAGGCCCATACTTGGCTGCTTCTGTCCAGAGGAGTGCTGTTTCCTAATTTGCACAGAAGCACCCTGTGGGCCAGCTGTGGCCCTGCCTGTCTCACAGGGTGCTCTGAGAATTAAAGGTGAATGTGCTGGCTCAGGCCTGGTACCAGCTGGAGTCCAGTCAGCACACATTCCCTTTCCCCTTCTTTAAGCTCTTGGAAGCCTGCAAATCCACACAAAGAAAGATGTCTATAAAACTGGGAGCCCCATTCCAGCTGGAGAGATTGAGGCCTTTCCTGGTAGTTGTAGCTTCCTTCTAGGGTGGAGCCTGGGGGAGAGCACAGGCCTCCTGATGCCACCTGGGGACCCCTGGCCTGGGGCATGGGCACTGGGGACAGCTATTTCTGTTTTTGCCGGAGCTGAGTCAAGTGCAGACTCACATGTCTGACACCAGTGTCATCCTCTCCATGGACAACAATAGCAACCTTGACCTGGACAGCATCATCGCGAGGTTAAGGTCCAGTATGAGAAGATTGCCCAGAGGAGCAGGGCTGAGGCCGAGGCCTGGTACCAGACCAAGGTGAGAGAATGGCCAGTCCAAGGATGTGGGCTAGGCCCGCACTGGGACCTTCCCCCATTGTGAGAGGCCTGGGCTACTGGGCTCCTCGGAGGTCTGGGGCCAAACACATCCAGCCTACACACCCTGCTGTGAGGGCGGGCCCAGGGGTCAGTGGTTACCCATGGGGGCCTGGAACGATCTGACAGCTCACTGTCATTTCTTTGCCTCCAGTACAAGGAGCTGCAGGTGACAGCTGGGAAGCATGGGGACAACCTGAGGGACACCACGAATGAGATTGCATAGGATCATAAGAGGCTTCTATGAACAACTATATGCAACAAACTGGACAACCTAGAAGAAATGGATAAATTCCTAGAAACATACCACCTACCAAGACTGAATCAGGAAGAAATCAGAAATCTGAACAGATCAATTACTAGTAAGGAGATTGAATCAGTAATCAAAAGTTTCCCAAAAAAGAAAATTCCAGGACCAGATGGCTTCACTGGTAAATTTTCACTGGTAAATTTAATGCCAATCCTTTTCAAACTTCTCCAAAACCCAAGAGGCAGGACAACTCCCAGACTCATTTTATGGGGTTAGCATCAAAGCCAGATAAGCACACTACAAGGAAAAAAACTACAGGCCAATATCCCTGATGAATATAGAGGCAAAAAAATTCCCAACAAAATACTAGAAAGCTGAATTCAGCAGCACATTAAAAGGACCATACACTGTGATGAAGTGGGACTCAACCCTGGGATGCAAGGTTGGTTTGACATACACAAATCAATAAATGTGACACATCACATTAATAGAATGAAAAATAAAAAAATCATGTGATTAAAAAATCATATGATCAAATTCATATTGATGAAATTCAACATCCATTCATGATAAAAACTATCAACAAAGTAGGTATAGAAGGAACATACCTCAGTATGTTCCTCAGTATAGTAAAGATGATGTATGACAAGCCCACAGAGAACATTATACTTAATGGTAAAAGGTCACAAGCTTTTCCTCCAAAATCAGGAAAAAGGCAAGGGTGCCCACTCTCACAATTCCTACTCAGCTAGTACTGGAAGTCCTAGCCAGAGTATTCAGGCAAGAAAAAGAAATAAAAGGCATTAGAATTGGAAAGGAAGAAGTAAAATTTTCTCTATTTACAGTTGACATGATCTTATATGTAGAAAATTCTAAGGACTCCACCAAAAAACTGTTAGCTCTAATCAATGAATTCAGTGAAGTGACAGGATACAAAAGTAACATACAAAAATCTATAGTGGGGCTTCCCTGGTGGTGCAGTGGTTGAGAGTCCGCCTGCTGATGCAGGGGACACGGGTTCGTGCCCTGGTCTGGGAAGATCCCACATGCCATGGAGCGGCTGGGCCCGTGAGCCATGGCCTCAGAGCCTGCGCGTCCAGAACCTGTGCTCCGCAATGGGAGAGGCTACAACAGTGAGAGACCCACATACCGAAAAAAAAAAATAGTGTTTTTAAACACTATCAACAAATTATCTGAGAAAGAAATAAAGAAAATGATCCCATTTACAATAGCATCAAAAACAATAAAATACTTAGGAATAAATTTAACCAAGGAGGTGACAGGTCTCTACATTGAAAACTGTAAGACATTCGTGAAAGAAATTGAAGAAGACACAAATAAATGGAAAGATATCTTGTGCTCATGGATTGGAAGAATTAATAGTTAAAATATCCATACTATCCAAAACCATTTATAGATTCAATGAAATCCCTGTCAAGATTCCAATGACATTTGATACAGAAGTAGAAAAAACAATCTTAAAATTCCTTTGGAACCACAAAAGAACCCAAATAGCAAAAGAAATCTTGGGAAAGAAGAACAAAGCAGGAGGCATCACAAGTCCTGATTTCAAACTATATTATAAAGCTATAATAATCAAAACAGTATGGTCCTGGCATTAAAAACAGACAATAGACCAATGGAATAGAATGGAGAGCCCAAAATACACCCATGCATGTATAATCAACTAATATTTGACAAGAGAGCCAAGAATACTCGATGTAGAAAAGGCAGTCTTTTCAATAAATGGTGCTGGGGAAATTGGATATTCATATGTAAAAGAATAAAACTAGACCCCTATCCTACACCACTCACAAAATCAACTTGAAATTAATTGAAGACTTAAATGTAAGACTTGAAACCATAAAACTTCTAGAAGAAAACAGGGAAAACCTTCTTGACATGGGTCTTGGTAATAATTTTTGAGGTGTGTCACACCTAAAGCACAAGAGAGAAAATAAAAAATGAACAAGCGGATACATCAAACTAAAAAACTTCTGCACAGCAAAAGAAATGATCAGCAAAATGAAAGTTCCACCTGTGGAATGAGAGAAAATATTTGCAAACCACATATCTGATAGGGGGTTAATATCCAAAATATATAAAGAACTCATACAACTCAACAGCAAAAACCTCCAAATAATCTGAAAAGGAAGAGGACCAAAAAAACATCTTTTCCAAAGAAGATATTCAACAGGTACATGAAAAGGATGAAAAGGTGCTCAGCATCACTAATCATCAGGGGAATGCAAATTAAAGCCACAATGAGGTATCACCTCATGCTTGTTAGAGTGACTATCATCAATAAGACAAGAAGTAACAGATGCCAGTGAGGATGTGGAGAAAAGGGAACCCTTGTGCACTGTTGGTGAGAATAGAAATTGGTGCAGCCAACTATGGAAAACAGTGTGGAGGTTCCTGAAAAAATTAAAAATAGAACTACCATAAGATCCAGCTATTTCACTTTTGAGTATTTATATGAAGGAAACAAGACCACTATGTTGAAGAGATATCTGCACTGCCATCTTCATTGCAGCATTAGTTACACTACATGGAAGACGTGGAAACAACCTAAGTGCCCACTGACAGGTAAAGAAGATGTGGTTTATATAGAAAATGGAATATCATTCAGCCATAAGAAAGAAGGAAATCCTGCCAATGCTACAATATAGATGGACCTTGAGGGCATGATGCTAAATGAAATAACTCAGACAAAGAAAGACAAATACTGTATGATCTCACTTATATGTGGAATCTAAAAACAAAAACAAAACCAACCCCCCCTGCCCCAAACCTCATAGAAAGAGAGTTCAGATTTGTGCTTACCAGAAGCAGGGTATGGGGAGTGGAGAAATTGGGTGAATGTCGTCAAAAGGTACAGACTACCAGTTATAAGATATGTTCTGGAAATGTGATATACAACTTGCTGACTATAGTTAAAAATGCTGCATGGGATATTTGAAAGTTGCTTAGAGAGTTAATCCTAAAAGTTCTCACCACAAGGAAGAAAAATTTTTTTGTAGCCGTGAGAGGTAATGGACATTAACTAAACTTATTATGGTAATCATTTTGCAGTATATCCATATGTCAAGTCATTACGCTGTATACCTTAAACTTATACAGTGTTAAATGTCAATTGCATCTCAATAAAACTGGAAAAAAATCCACATTTTAATTAGACTCTGTGGTTCACAAATATGTTATTTTGCCTGTGACCTTCACAGCAGCCCCAGAATTTAGTAGGGGGCAAATGATACCCCTTTTTGCAGGTGAGGTAATTAAGGCTCACCGCAGTTAACTTTCACACCTGCAGTGGTATAGCTGGTGAGTGGTAACCAGGGCTGCCGATTTCAAGCTCTCCACCCTTTCTTCACAGTGGCAACCTCCGTCCTACCTCTGTTTCCGTCACTCACCAAATCATATGGAGCCTTCCTCCACTGTGTCTCTAGGAGTCACCCCTTTCCCTCTTCATCTCCACTCTTCCCTACTCTGAGCCTCAGTCAATTAATTACCCAAGTAATTCCCCAACTGACTGACTTCCCAGCCCTGTGCCCTGCCACACCCCAAACCCTGCTACCAAATCAATGTGCCCCTCCCTTCTCTGGCAGCCTTAGGGTTCCTGATGGAAGGGACCCTTCTTGATGTCCCCTCCACTCTGAGCCTGGTCACTCAGTCTCCCTAAAAGAACCCAGACAAGCCCCATGAAACTTCCACCAGGGTCATCGGAATGCCAGCAGAGGGATTTTGAGCCAAACCCTAACCACAGCTTAGGAACACAAAGGTTAGCACTTAGCAAAATTAACTCCACCACCTAGGTGGTCCCCAGCTTGGGGAGGCAGTCATACTTTCAGTGAGCTTTCTCTTCTCAGGGGGATGGAGTATAGAGCATCCCTGATGGGACTAATACCTAGTATTTACTGAGTGCTCACTGCCTACTGTACTCCTGTCAACCCTCTACCTGATTCACTCTTCACAGCAATCTATGAGACAAGTACTATTTTCATCCCCATCTTGCAGATGAGGAAACGGAGGCACAGAATGATTAAGTAACTTGTCTAAGGTCACACAGTTAGTAAGTAGCTGAGTTGGGCATGCAATCCAAGAAGCTTGGTTCCAGAGCCCAACAACTGGGTTATGCTGTTTTATAGAAAAAGAAATTGAGAAGCAGGGGTACTGGAGCTGGAGAGATATCTGAGGCAATCTAGTCCAAACGTTTCTTTCTCTCTCTCTCTCTCTCTCTCTCTCTCTCTCTCTCTTTTTTTTGGGTCACACCATACAGCTTGTGGGATCTTGGTTCCCTGACCAGGGATTGAACCCGGGCCCCGGGCAGTGAAAGCACGGAGTCCTAACCATTGGACTGCCAGGGAATTCCCCAAACGTTTCATTCTATAAGTGAGAAAATGAGCAGAGAGGGGAAGAACTTGCTAATGACAAAGTAGAACAAGAAACAAATTTTTTCAGGTGGTAATCAGATTTTTTTAAAAAATTGAACTCTAGTTAATTTACAATGCTGTGTTAGTTTCAAGTGCACAGCAAAGAGATTCAGTTATACACATATATATATCTTAACAGAGAAACAATTTTATTGAAATTATATTTACGGCTTAAAAAATAGAAACAGTTTTATCAAGTAACAAAACTCAAAGATTATACTATGGACCATGAAGATCCACTAATGATGTGTATGTTACTTAGAAATACTTGTGTAAAGCTGGGAATGGCCTGGACACGGGGTTTCCATGCTGAATTCCTGGAGCCTCAGGACCCCAGGGCCTGCTCTCAGGGGGTCCAGGGAGAGGCCAGCATGTAAGAAGGTTCACGGTTCCCTCCTCTGCACCAATCAGAGCATCTCTCCTTTTAATTGGTTTTCAAATGGGGCTGTGCATATTTTTTTTTTTTTTTTTTTTTTTTTTTGGGGTGGGGGGGCCTCTCACTGTTGTGGCCTCTCCCATTGAGGAGCACAGGCTCTGGACGTGCAGGCTCAGCGGCCATGGCTCACAGGCCCAGCTGCTCCGAGGCATGTGGGATCCTCCCGGACCGGGGCACGAACCCACATCCCCTGCATCAGCAGGCGGACTCTCAACCACTACACCACCAGGGAAGCCCGTGTGCATATGTTTTGGATGACAAGAATGGTTTTGCTGTCAAAACATGTTGGGTAACCCCTGCTGACACATGCCCGGGGAGTGGGGGGAGACCAAGAATGCTCTCCACCCCTGGGAAAGGGGGGACTTTGTGTACAGACCCCCGCTTCCCGATTCTAAGGGCTCCCCACCCTCTCTCTGTCCTCACTGTCCCCTTGCCGAAATGCTGACTGGTCCTCTTCTGCAGAGTCTCTGATCCCCAAGTTGGCTCTGGCTCCCCACAGAATGACTCTGGGGCTGCTGAGGCTGGGTGACTGAACGGGGTGAGGGCACAAACCCGGTCAGGACGGGCGGAGGTGCTTTCCCACACCACACACCGGGTTTGGGGCTAATAGACTTGGGATCCCTGTAATCCCAGGACTGAATGCAAGGGCTTGCCTCCCTCACCCAGAAAACCCTAGGCAAACACACCCTCCGCTCCGCTCCACACCCCTGTCAGCTGCTCATCCTTCTTTGACAAGACAGGGAACGGCTGCCAGTTGAGGAAGGGTCACAGAGGTTAAGAGTGGAACTGTGGAGGTGAGGTGGGAACCTGCTTTTAGCCGTCACTGCCAAGGGGAGTCACCCAAGATCTGGCCCAGGAGCTGCAGGAGGAAACCTTCCCTTTCTCAGGGATGGAAACTCTTCTTTGCCTCTCTCCCTCGAGGGTCAACGCTCTCTTGCACACTGAAGGCATGCCTGCCTTCAGTTTCTCAGGCTGCCGTTTGAGGATTTTGTGAACTTCTGGCAATTCTGACTTCATAGTAGAGCCACAGAATATGGCTCTAGTCCAGAGCTTTCTTCCTGTTTGGTTTGGGTTTATTATAGGATTTGTCATTTAGTTAATTTGGACTTAGTTAGTTGGAGGACACAGAATTGGCCCCTCAGGACAGTGTCCTATATTATTGGATACTTGTAAGGACAGGGCCACATGATCCAAACAACCAGTCCTGTGGCAAAATCAAGGACAGAACACGCAGCGTGCTGGCCGAGACCCTGTGGCTACTCTGATGCTCCATAAGCTGCAAGTCTAAGTTGCTGTATAATTGTTTTTCCTGCAGATTCTGATATACAGCATTGTGGTGCAGAGGTTAAGGTCACAAGCTTTGATGTTAGACAGATAGGACTGGCCTCCTACCTCCACCACTTCCTAGCTATGTGATCTCAGGCAAGTTACATAACCTCTCTGAGCCTCAGCGGCCGTAGCTCTAAACTGAGCATAGCAACTCCTCTTTTTTGCAAGGTTGTTGTGAGGAAGGGAACCCCTACCTGAAAAGCACCCAGTGTCCAGCACGTGATGGCAGCTCTATATGAGAGTTCCTGCTACATGAAAAGCAAGGCGGGCTTTCCCTCATCTAAATTTTTGTCTCAGGGATGGCGTCTGCCTCAACTTAGAGTCAGCTTGATGAAAAGTACCTCAGTTGGGGATCCTTGGTTTGGGTGCCCCACAGGCACAAAATAAGATTGATTGTATAGCATAGATTATTTCCCTTGAAGTCCCTTCCACCCCCGCTGGCTTTCTGTTTTAGGCACTGGACACAACTTAAGGGCACAGCATTTTCTCCTAGTATTGGGGTGTCACAGCTACAGACTACAAGACACAATGGACACATCACGAGATGCCTTGAGGCTGCACCCTGCAGATGCAAACCCTCCTCCTAGCCCATGAAAGTCCTCATCAAGCCCCAGGGAGGGCAGAGCCTTTGCGAGCAGACTGATGTGGGCTCGGGTCCTGGCTCCACCACATGCTACTGTGTGACCCTGGGGGCCTACTTCTCCTCCCCGGGGCTTCCAAGTCATCATTAGTAAACACGGTTGTGATACTGACTGCAGAGAGCTTTTAGGAAGATTACATGACCACATGTATATAGAGCATTCAGTACAGTGCCTGGCACGAAGTTGGCATTCAATAAATACTCATTGAAAGGATGAGAGGATGTTCAACCTTGTCCCTCGTAGGAGATAGTCCTGGCTCTAGAATGCTCACTTACTACAGGTGGACGGACCATCCCTTGGGCTCTCTCCCATGGACCTTTGATGGGGCCCAGGGGGTCTCCTGTCCTCCCTGCCACAGCACTTCCACCACTCTTCATTTACTTAGAGGCCACCTAGGCAGGGGCAGGGAGAGCCCAGCAAAGGCTGAAGCAGATGGGGACAGAGGGTGGGGTGCAGCTCAGAGGTAGAGGGAAGAGGAGGGCAGGGAGAGGCAATGAGGGTAGAGGTGGGGAGAGAGGAGCTGGCCAGAGGAGAGAGCTCCCAGCCAGTCCAGCCTCCCCTGCAGCCCGGTCCCCAAGACCTGCATCCACTGACCACCCTCTTCTCACCCCATGGGCCTGCCCTGCTCTCTCTCTTTGCACGGGATGGCTTGATCATTTTTGGGGTGGCCGGCTTTCATTCAGTCAGGGTCAGCTCAGGCCTGTGGGAATTATGTAGGCCCTCATCACTGTTGTTCCCCAGATTCAGAATAGCAGAGTCTCATTAGGGATTGAGAAGAGGGATGAGGCTTCATCTAATTTCTCCTCAGAAGTGGCAATGGCAAAGCCCGGGCAGGATAAGAATGAATGCCTACCGACCTACTATGTACCAGGCACTGTAGATACATCATCTCATGATCTATGAGGCAGGCATCCCATATGATAGATGAGAGGATGGGTTGAATGGGTTCAGAGAGTTTAGGTGACCTGCCCAAGACTGCACAGCCAGTTAGTGGCAACAGGTGGGATTTGAACACAGATCTGTTGCACTCAGTGGGGAAGAATTTAAGTTCGAGCTTAACACTAGGGTTTTGTATTTGAAAACATTGCTCTGGGCAGAGGCTCATAGGTTTCGCCATTCTGCCAACGGGGTCCCCAGCACCTTGGAACAAAAAGTTCCAAGCTCCTACCCTGAATGCTGGGAGCATTATGGGAAAACAGAACATGGCCTGTTCCGGTGGAGCCAAGCAAACAACTGGGCAGCAAACTGAGTAGCATGGCGCACACAATAAGGACGCAGCCTGGAGAACGCTGGCCTAGAATCCTGCCAACCCAGACTGGAAGCCCCGAGAACGAATGCGAGTCTTGAGGGCCCAAGGCAGAGTCAACTTTCTTCTGTCCCCAGCTCCATGCCTGGCACATAGTAGGTTCTCAATAACTGCGTGTCAAGTCGAGGTGAGTCTTGATCTAGGTTTGGAAGGCTAGAAGGCTGGAATATGGATTTCCCCTTTTGCAGGACTACATGGGGCCAAGTGCACATGCAAGAAGAGTAATGATAGTGACAAATAACCGTGCAGCCTCTGACGGTTTACAAAGCACTCATTCTTCTTAATCTCAGGATCTTGACAGAGGTGAAGGAAAATATTTGTAGTATTTCCAATTTATGGGTGAAGCAACTGAGCCCCAGAGAATGACTTGCTGCAGGTTTGCAGAGCATGCATGTGAAGTCAGGCCCGCAGCTTCCAAATTCTGTGGAGTGAGCGACAGAGTGATGGGTTGTCTTGCCTGGAGCAGGGAGGCCCCTGGAGGCTGGTGAGATGGGAGTACAGTGGGTGGGGGGCCTGTGACCCAGGAGGCCCTGCATCACCGGTTCAGCTTCTCCCGACGGAGAGCATGCCCTCCGAATGACTTCTGTAGGTGTGTTTGTGACATGTTCAGCAG